TTCTGTAGTGCTTGAGGTAAACATTTGATTTTCTCTTCTTCCAGAAAAAAAATAGGTTTAAAAAATGTGTTTCTAATTCTAAAATTTAGAAGCCTTTTGACATTTGGCAAATGTTTACAATACAGTATATTTAGTATTCTCCTTATATTAAAATATTTAAATTAGGAAACTTTAGTAAATCCAGCTCTGCTTATTGACAGCTAAACTTTACAGCAGCACATACTTAAACAGTTCAAGCATGTTAGTTTGCAGTGTTTTAGCATCCTTTTGTAGCAATCTAGCTCAGGTCAGTCACATGCAGATAATTACTGCACTGTAAATTTGCAGCCATGCTTTGCTGTGTTTCCTGTTCCATAGCAGGCTCTACCATGTTATAATTCCTGTGATAGTGCAGGACAGGGAATTGCAGATTTCTGACAGATTCTGAAAGCACGTATATCTAATATAGTTTGTAATAAAAAACTGTAATGTAAATAAACCCCAGTCAGCCATCTGCTGCAGGAATATAACTTAAAGATGGTTTAAAATGGTGAGAAAATAAATCACAATTCTGTATCACTTCCCGGAACTTCTGTTTCTCTGAGTTTCCTAAATAAGACTGGACTTTCTGTCTTGCTTTGTGGCTTGACATTTAACATGCTACACGCGTACATTAGTGACTCAAGTTCATGGTTAATATTGAGGTCAGCTGCAGTAACACTTTAGCCTTAAAGGGAAAAAGAGTGCAGTGCCTTACAAGCAAACCCAGATGTCTATGTTATGTCTTGCAATCATACTGCAGAGATCTTATATTGTTAATATGACTGGCTTTATTAAAAAAAAGGAAATCTGCAAATGTTATTGTCTAAGTACATTAGCCAATTTTCAACTTACATTCAGCTGTGACCTCCGATTGCTCAGTGGGATTTGGGGGTAACACCTGCAATCCACAGCTTACAGGTTTGCCTGTGTGACTCCAGCAACCTTTGATCCACCCAGCCAAAGTGCAGTGTTACACTCAGGGAAAGGCTGTCATCCCCAGAACCAAGAATCAGAGCTGCTGCTGCTGTACCACCAGGGTTCTAGAGCAAGAAATGGCAGCTCTGAATGACAGGAGCACAGAAAGTCACTTTCTTACCTCCTTCCCCTGCTTTGTCAGGATGTAAGATCCAGCTGTATTGAAAAATGTTATCAGCTGCTCAGTAGGAAAAGTATCAAAATTATGGAAACTCCCAAACCCCTGTTAAACCATAATCTGGTTTTCATTCTTGGCCTTAATATATAGCACAATATTTTGAAGAACTTTATGTTATTTTGCTCAAAGGATCCAATTCTGCGCTCAGAGTTTCCATGTGGACTAGTCTTGTTGGTCTCAGCACAGGTAGCGCCTAGACAAATGTGCTGGAAATAAAAGTCCGGTCACGGATGAGTCATCACAAAGTAAAGTTAGTTCAGAACAGGGGCATAGATCTTCAGAATTTGGAGAAGCCATCTGAGTGAATATTTAATTTTGTCCCTGTCCTTTTCTTCAGTCAGGGAAAAGCAAATGAAACTATTAAGTACTTGGAAGAGTTTAAGAAGGCTGCTGAGAAGGCTCATCTAAGCCAAAGCCTGGCTGACTCATGCATATTGCTTGGGAATACTTACAATGAAACAGTAAGTACTGGTTGTAGTAATGATGTCAAACAAGGGGGTTTAATACACGGTAAAAATCTGGTTTTGCATATGAGATGGCCCAGAAGGATTTGATCCAGGTATTGTATCTTATAAAGTTACCAAAGGAGAAGATAGTGTGTGAATAAATAAAACGTGCCTTAAGTTTTTTCGCAAAGGTGAAGATTTCACACCATATTTAACATATAGGGTTTTGTTCTAGGATGGATGAATAAAAACTCCAAGCTTAGATCATGACGAACTTTCAATGTTGTGAAATATTGTCATCCAAATCACTGTTGGGGCCACATATGCCCATAAAGAGATACCAGTTAATGCAAATCAAATTTTATTGTACTATACATTGAAACTCATACTTTCTAAAAATGAATGTATACTATATTAAGTAGTTTTTAATATTAGCTTGATTTTTTCTCTACCTTCTCTCAGCCAAATTTAAAAAATAACAGCAAAGAGTTTGACAAAGTTCTGTGTTGATAGTGGAAGGGCTTTCTCTCCTATATGCCTCTGTCCAGCCCGATGTCTTTGATTTGGCCTGTTTAAATCAATGGATAGGCAGTGATGGACAATATTGAACTGGAGTAACTAAGAAACTCCCTTTATCATAGTTGCTAAGGTCTTTTAAAGTGATTCCTTCTGGCCCGTATGCCAGTCTCTGAGTTGTTCCTCCGGGATGGACGCTGCACAGGCAGCGGTGCTGTTGGCTGCCTGCCTGGGTAGCAGTTTCCACACTTATGCTGCCTCTTACTGCATCTAGAGGCGCAGCACCCACCCTGCAGTAGCATTTGGGTTTGAAAATCAGAAGGGTTAAGAACATTACTGCAGAACTGAAAGATTCACGATGAGCCCTCTAACATCTATTTTGGAGCCAAAATTATTTAGATATAATAAGTAATAAGAATTTGTTTGGCAGACTGGACTAGGAAGAAATTAGGAAAAACATTACCTATGAATAAGATAAAAATAGAAATACCCTTTCAAAATCACCCTTTCTGGCCTTTGTTGCCTGTTTTTCTGTCAGAATTTCTGTGTCATAGATACTGAACAGGCCTCTTGCCCTTTTTCACTTACACTATTCCCAAATGCCTTTTTTTAATTATTATTTATTCCCTTTACAGAGAACTCCTACTACCAGATTTACTAGCCCATTTTTGTTTCATAAGCAGTAGAACAATTTCTTACTCTCTAATCTCTAGATTAGCCTGAGAGTTCTCTATTTACATATATTCTTAGCACCAATGTGAAACTTGCAATTAAAAACTAAGTTTTAAAGTCATTGAGAACTTGCTGAAGTAACTTTCAAATTAATCCAAAACTTAGAAGAAAGTAAAATTATGTAGCACTGTGCTTAATTTTACTCCAGATTTGAAAAATAATTAACTAAATTCTGTTTCATTACTTTTATATTTCAGTGCTTCTGCCACCATTGCTAATAATCAGTTCTGTGAAAACTGATATTTTAAGAATTTGCTTATTCTTTACATTTTCTTTTTCAGTTTCTCCTTCAGTTCAGAATTTTCTGCCTTTAGCTGAGGTAGTGGTGTAGAAAGGAAAAAATGTGGTGATAATTTATGTTAATGTAGATTAAATATGTAGTTTAAATATACTCAGAAAAAAATCTGTGAAAGTTTTACAATTCCCTATTTTCTATACCGCTTTTCCTACAAGGTCAAAGATGTTTACCAAAACTGAGTCTAAATTAACATTTCCTCTCTTTGACCAATGCCTACTTGGTGTCAGCTGTCATTGCTGGTATTCTTTAAGTCATTATTAGGCTATTTTTATTCAACTCTGTGCTTCCCCCGGTCCTTCTCATCAAATTAAAGATATCTCTATTTATATCCAGATCTGTCCCTAGGGACCTGTAGGTTTTAATTTCTATTCTTTTCTGTATTTTAGGTCCATTGTTTCATTATTCTCTTTTTGCCATTTTTGACATTTCTTTTCTAAAACGTAGTATTACAACAGCAAATTAGGACCTTTCCTCCCACAGAGATATTAAACTTAATGAAGCAATAGCGATAATTTTTAAATACCTGGCTGGAATCAGTATTAATACTCAGCATTGATTTATTTAGATTAGTATGGTCAAAATACTGCACAGACAACCAAAAAACCTGAGAAGGATATGAGCAGTGTTATCTGGATTTTAGAGGTTAGGAAACAGCAGGAGAGAGTGATTTGCTTAATACCATGCCATGAGTCATTCTGTGGGCTGGCCTCTCAGCTGCACCTTCTCTGAGGTGCCAGAGGAGCAGGCTCTAATGTCAAGATAAAATACAGGCGAATACAAGTAGATTTTACAGGGTTTTTTTTCCTCTTCTTTACTAGGGCAACTACAATGAAGCTTTTGAATCCTTCAGTCAGGCTTTCAAGACAGCAAAAACTTTAAACCATTTGCCCTTAGTGGATGAAATAAAGACTTACTGTGGCATTACAAAGGCTCATAAACTGATGGTGGCATTTAACAGCCATACAGAAGCAGAAGATCCCGTCAGCCTCAGGTACCTGCTGGCATGGAAGGAGAACAGAAGTGACATGTGCACTGACCCTCTTACAGTTGGTAAGACATTGGTTATGAAACACATTAGTGCTGTATTGTCCTCAATGGTTAAGTCGTTTTTCTTGTAGATTTTTATTAAATTATTTCCTGGGCTTAATCCTTGTACTGACTGGAGGTTAGATTTACTCCTTTGTGTGCTTATTTTAAAGGCTGAATCGAATAGGTTTAAATACAATATAACATGGGGAAAAAGATAGTAGTAGTTGCTGTGGATGGTAACTTAATTTTTTCAGCACCGTTTTCTAAACCAGCACAGTTACAAAACAGTGGTGTATTAGTTTAGTGAAATATTCTTATTTTAATCTTTAAAGAAAAAATATAAAATCTTCATTTGCAGACAGTTTTTCAAGTGCATCCGAAAATAAGTTACCTGTTACTAGAAGTAAGAAGTAATTTCTGCTTGACATAATGGCCATAGTTCTGAATTCAGAAGAATATGCTGGTTTATTTTTGGCACCCTTATACTTGACATTGGAGGGGAAAAAGAGCCTCCGATTTCTTCAGTGTTTCCTTGTCTCAGATAAAAAGTATGGGAGGACTTTGTGTGGTGTAGACCTCTTGCTACATGTGTTAGATTTTCTTAACTTTTTTCCCCCTGTACTGTAAGTTAATACAAGACAAACTGAATTAGGCGTTATCTCAAAGTATTGATAGTATTAAGCTATATTGTACTAGGCAAGGAAAGGAGGTAAGTCTGCTCCACTTTAAAACTTTCCTCTGCATTTCTCTGGAGAGTGTGAATCTGGAGGACGGTGGAAATAAATGACAGCCAGGGCAAAGACATAATATGGAGCTTCAGAGTTACTGTGTCCAAATTTCCTTAGTTATCATACTCTCAAAGACAAAGAACTGCTTGTCTGCTGTTTTCTTGTTTATCTTTTCCTTTCGTAGAATTGGAACAATTAAGTTTAACTTCAATCATCAATTTTATATGTAAAGTAAGTGGTTAATAGCCTGGTAATTGAAGATGTTAGTGATTTAATGGGAGCCAGGATACAGGAAGCAACACTAGAAGCAACTGAGAATTGTGGAACAAGAGCATTCGTTGGCACAATGAAGAAAAATTAGATAGCACTCGGTTTAGAGTTCCAGTGATGGTAACAGATAATGTGCTTCTTTTTCAGTGAGTATATATTTTTATGATTTGCATCCAGCACACTCACAGATTTTGCTGGCTGACAGAAATAATCAGGTGCATGCCTCCTGCAAGGAATAGTAAGTTTCTAGACCTGTAGTGCAGATGTCAAAAATTCCAGCAGAGGTCAAAGAAGAATCCATGTCAAGCAGTTTTATATGCATTTCATATGAGGATCAGTAGCGGAAGCTGATGTAAATAGGAGGCCAACAAAAATCAACAATGGCAACACCAAAAAAAACAGGAGCTTCAAAGAGATAGGATGGTCTTTGTATCTTCAACATGTATTTTACTTCTTGCGCCTAAAGAGGTTTTCTGTTCAACTCTTATATATCACTTTCTCCATCCAGTTGTGAAAACTCATTTACATCCACTTTAAGCTCAAGCTTTATGCTCGTCTTTAACAGTACTCTAGGGATAAAAAAAAAAAAAGTATGATTAGAAAAGCCCTTTAAATCCTGGCAAGCATAGTACCAGAAGCAAGTTTTGCCTGCCGAGATTCTCTTCCTTCTGTATTTCTGCTTAGTTTACCCTCTGTTACTCTCTGTATTACAGGTTTCATTTTAGTTCCAGTTAACTCCAGGAACCCTGTGGCTACTGCATATTTAGCAGCTCTTCCAGTTCAATATCATTCTTCTCATTAGTGCTCCAAGCTTACTCTCATGATACCCAGATTACATCCAGGAAAACATAGTGTCACACTGTCAGCACAATCTGTAACACTCTTCATGTTTTGTGTGCCAGATCTCTCGTTAGTACTGGCATTACATTTTTAATATCTTTGTCTGGCAAAACATGACCTGGCACCAATTCAAAATTAGGATTCACTGGCTTTGAGTTTCAGGTACAGCCTTTGTCGTACCTTCCAGGAGATTGTCTGTGCATCCTATGATGAACTCATCACTTTGGAAAGTCCTGCTGTGATAATAGAACAGTATCTCTAGCTCTTTCAAACAGCTCAACATTGAAAATCTACCAGATTTTTCTCAGTCTTTTTGAGGATAAAAGAGCTAAAGACTAAAGAAAAGATACAATGATAGTTCTTAATCTGCAGGGGAATTTAATGAAATAAAAAAGAAGGTAATAAGTTCTTATTTCTAAGTGTTCTGACTGAATAATTTTTTCTGTAACAAAAAAAATAAGAGTGTTTTCTGTATTCTTAGCAAAAGAAATACTTAGCCTAGTGGAAGAACAATGACATTTAAATTCAAGTACTGCCATACGCTTTATGTCTTTCAACCAAGGCTTATTTTCTAGATCAGTCATTTCAATAACTAGGCAGGGAGAACCATTACTTACTCAATCTACCTCAACATTTATTAAAAAAATGTGTGTTTTGACCAACATTGTCACACAAAAAAAGAATGGCATTATCAGAAAACATTGTTTATAAATGCAAAGGAGAATGTGTTTCTATCAGCTGCATTTGACTCAATCACCTGACTTCACTTACAAGAGAGTTATTTATGCCATTGTGAGATGCCACTGCAAAATACGTTTTTATTGATCTTTTTATGTTTAGTCAAACGTATAAAAAAATAATTATCAATCAGAATCAGTAGGCAAAAGGCTTGCAACTCCATGTTAAAGCCTAAAAAGGAACCCACAGCATGACTAACGTTGTCTGATGAGAAAATGTTTCACAGGTCTTTCAATAAATAATCTCCTGACTTGCCACCTTCTAGAAGTGAGAAGACTAATTAAGGATGCTGAAGGCAGGAAAATTTTGGCTTAGATTTTGGATATTGATTACATGAAATGCTAACCAAAATTGTGTTTTCTGTCAGTCTGGCAATTCGTAATCCTGGCTGTTGCATCTGGTAGGGCTGTGCCTCAGCAAGACACCTTGAATGCTTGAAATCATCTAAATACTTTTAAGAGCAGACTTAAAATGTATTGTTTTCCTCGTACTAAAACGTCTTCAGTTGTTTTCCTGCGGAGTGTTACGTGCTTTTGACGTTTAGATTTACATGTCTTTTGACTTGGGAGAACTTGGCAAAATGGACATTTTTTTACTGTAGGTTTTCTCTGTGTGTTTTATTGTTTTGTTGGATTTTGGGATTTTTGATAATAGCTACAAATGCAGCATAAATGATTGTCTTACCCATATCATCAGTTGTGAAGTCTTATGGTCAATGGAATTATCTTGTACCATCAATTTCAGCATGATCAGGACTATTTCTAGCGTTCCACACCTGAGCAGCCATTAACATGATTTAAAATGCACTCATCAGCTAAAAATCTAGCTTGGAAAATCCAGTCCAATGAGCTTTTGTTCTTACTCCCAAATATGTCGTCCTCCCATATTCTTTATCCAGCTGCGTCACATAGATGTATGAAGTGATTCATTACATAATGTGTCCATTCTGTTATGTAAAAAGTTAAATTGTCATCCTACCTATTCACATTTTTAAAAGCTCTTTAAGATGTTTCATAGTCATATTTTCTGTAAAAGATGTGGCTAGCACAAAAGTAATAATGTGTTGAAGAACAGAGGTGCATCTTAGGTTGAGTTTGTATGTGACTGTCATTCATTAATAAAAGGATTATCCCTAAAGAATGGCAAAGTCAGAAGTGAGATATGAGATCAAAGATTGCACTAAACAAATTCTGTTAAAATTTCTCTACTGTAACTTACCACAGCCATATAATTTATGGGCCATTTTGGTAATAGTGTCCAACAGTATAACAGTCAGCTTCATAATGTGATAAACTGCTTTTTCACTATCTCTTCTTTCTGATGTACACTAATTCCAGGAAAACTTCTAACATTACAAATCTTATCTTTCCTCCAGTAATAAATTATGGTAGTCACCTCAGATACATGCTAAATAAAACTGTTACACAATGACACTGTATCCAAAATGCTTGACTGTACTTCAGCAAATTAAAACCAATCTTCATCAGGAATATGCATTATAAATTAGACTTTGTGTTTGCCCAGTAAATGTTCATCAGTGGTAGCAGATTTTTTGATCTGAGAACATTCAAGAGAGAGAAAAGATGCAGTGCACTGATCAAAACTAAAAAAATAGCAAGTGTTTGTACCTTACACAGATATACATCCATCAAATAGTTCTTATATGATGTCAGTGGAAAGGTAGACACTTGTGTAAGCAGGTTCCTTTCACTGCATGTTTCTGCACATTTTTGTGGGCTTTATCAGATAGAATCATTTGCTCACTTCTGGAAAATTACTATGGTTATAGATGTCAAAATGTATACATTTAGGAAAATTATTACAAAAAGAAGCTTAGAGATGGTTCTGTCATTATTTCTTTTTTCTTAAAATTCTCTAAACTTATACTGCCTCTTCTTACTCACATTGCCTAGCACTCATCAGTTGCTGAGTTTTAGCTTATCTCACTTGTAATTTTGAAAAATCTCGAGTCATTTTTCATACTGCTGCACCTTTGGTATTAATGCAAAATACTTTAAGTAAATGTTGATAAACAACATGCTTGCATATAGATGTTGACGACATGGAACAGGCGTGTTTCATAAAATCAGCTTACCTGGTTCATGTATCACAGAATCATAGAATGGCCTAGTCTGGAAAGGACCTTAGAGATCATCTAGTCCAACCTCCCTGTCATGGGCAGGGACACCACCTCTCGACTAGACCAGGTAACACATGGGGACCTGATATTTATGATTAATTGGAGTTTGTTTTTTAAATAGTTCATTAAGTCGTCTTAGTGATACACTGATATTTTTAGAAAGTCAGAGTGATTATTGTTTGGACTACAAAAAGAATCAAGTGTAAAGAGAAGAACTGAGGGTGGCAGGGAAGTTTTTTGGCAGGTTGTGTTAAGTGGCCAGAAACACTAGATTCTCAATGAGAGTCTGAGAATAACATTTACAC